TGGGAAGAGAGTGTAGGGGTTTAAGCAGGAGGGTGGAGAGACCAAATTGTGTGTATATATACATACTTTTTTTTTTTTTTTTGACAGAGTCTCACTCTGTTGCCCAACTGGAGTGTAGTAGCATCATCATAGCTCACTACAACCTCAAACTCCTGGGCTCAAGTGATCCCCCTGCCTCAGCCTCCCAAGTGGCTGGGACGACAGGTGTGTGCCACCATGCCCGGCTAATTATTTTCTATTTTTGGTAGAGACAGGGTCTGACTCTTGCTCAGGTTGGTCTTGAATGCCTGGCCTGAAGTGATCCTCCCTCCTTGTCCTCCCAGAGTGCTAGGATTATAGGCGTGAGCCACCACGCCTGGCCCCAGTTGTATATTTTTTGAAGGTTACTTTACCTGCACGGAGACCTAGATTGATTGTAGTGGGCCCAAGTGGACAGGACGAAGCCAGCTGAGAATCTACTACAGGTGTCCAAGTAGGAGCTGATGGTTGGCTGTTTACAAGATGCTTTCAAATGCTGTATCTTATTTAATCCTTGTTAGGACCTCATGTGAGGTATTAACATCAGCTTCATGTATAGGTGAGGAAGTTGAGACCCAGAAAGTTACATGGCATGCCCATGGTCACACCATGCAGATTGTAGGATGAGAATTAGAACTCTGGTATCTGGCCCTCATCCTGTTGGTCTCTTGGTAGCTTTACGCCCATGTGTTAGCATCCCTGGGTTTGAGCAATTGATTTATCTTAAGAAAGGATCTGGGTTTTTTGTTGTTATTGTTATTGTCGTTGTTCTGGTTTTTAGAAACGGGGTCTCATTCTATTGCCCAGTACAGTGCGAGATCTTAGCTCACAGCAGCCTCGAACTCCTGGTCTCCAGTGATCCTCCTACTTCAGCCTCCTAAGTAGCTAGGACTACAGGTATGCACTACTACACCCAGCTAACTTCTTTATTTTATTTTTTTGTAGAGGCAGGGTCTCACTATGTTGCCCGGGCTGGTCTTAAACTCCCAGCCTCAAGTGATCCTCCTGCCTGGGCCTCCCAAAATGCTGAGATTACAGGCATGAACCACTGTGCCCAGCCAGGATCTGTTTTTAAGAAATGGAATTCTCATTCCTTGGTGGAGAGTAGAGGTGAGAAAGTTATTTTTAGCCTAGGTTTCTGATGAAAGAAGTAAAACAGGACATGACTTGATGTTAGACTGGAGCATCTTTTTGGAAAAAATAAATTTTTAATGTCATGTATTTATATGTGCCCTGCCTCATTCCAAAAATGGATTTAAAACAGCTTTCAAAACTACATGCGGTATGACAAGACACAGAAAGAAGATAGGGCAAAAAACTCAGGGCAGGCAAATTAAGATAATGCCAGGGGCATCCAACAAACATTTGCCCTCCAATCTCGCCGTTTGTCGAAGAGGGAGTCAGGAGCAGTAAGATTCACATGGTTGAAAACATTATGCTCAGTAGAGCTTTTCCTTCTCCTGCAATCTGCAGCATTTTCCCCACTTGGTCTTCGCATGACTGTGCTGCAGTGAGCGAGCCCACGGCAGTCTCACGGCGCGGGAGGGAGGGGCTGGAGTGACTGCTGCACACAGTTAGTGTCTGGAAACCAATTCATTTCTCTAGGAACTGCCCCACAAATCTCATCAGTATATTTCCTACCTACTGTGTGACCTTCGGTGAGACAGTTTCCTCTGTAGTAAAATCAAGGGTTTCCATGAGAGCGCAACTTCTCAAACTGAGCACCCTGGGGTACCCGGTGTTGTGTCAGGAGGAGTGTGAAGCTGCAGGACAGCCATGGCATGTGGGTTTTATCTGAAGGTTTTGGTGACAAAACAATAGGACAAAAAAAATAGAAAAAAAATTGATCTTTCTTTCTCTTTTTATGATATAGCACACAACTACATGAATCCTTCGTTTCCTTTACATATTAATAATTTGCTTTCAACTTATGGAGTTTATATGTGTATTACCTTGATATTACATTTTAAAGGGGGAAATTTTACCATTGTAGAAAGAGTGAAAACTCACAATTCTGCACAAATAATATGTGTCAGGAATGGTGTTTCATGAATATTTTCTCTGTTCTCCACAATAGTTCTGCTAAGAATTATCTCCATTTTATAGACGTGAAAACCGAGGCTCAGAAAAGTGGAATAAACTTGTCCAGATTCACTTAGCTAGTAAATGAGTGATGTAGCAGTCTAAATTTTATTCTACTGTCTTGACACTATATAATTAATTTCATAACATACCTTCTTGTAATTTGCACATTCATTTTCATAGTTTTTATCAAACACTGTGATGTTGATTATTAGGCATCATTCAGGATGCAGCATTTAGGGAATTATCTTTTCACAGAGTTGGGTGAC